CTGCTGTTTCTGTTTCCCTTTCTTTGATTTGTAGTACATAAATCACCCCTTTCTAGAGTTTGGGACTGGTTGTCCAGTGCACTACTAGGGAGATAAAAGTTTAAAAAGCAGAGAGGTTTTGCAACTGAGTAATTAATTAATAGCAGAAGTTTGGGACTGGTTCTCAAGTGTACTACTGGGGAGATAAAAAACCAAAGAGAGATTTTAATTGCAACTGAGTAATTAATTAATAGCTGCAGTTTCCCACTCATCCTCATGACCTGTCACAGGGTAGATGGAGCCCTTAATCTTCAGCTGTACATTTTTGTCATCTCTGTCATCCATGTGTCTCTGGGGAACTTTCACTGAGACTTGAAGAGCTGCAAAGCCTGAGTGAAGTCCTACAGCCAAGCCAGCCCTGTTCCTTGTTCTCCTGTTTAGGAATGCAAACAGTAAAATGTTTTCTTCAAGGAGCAAAAAATGGAAACAATTAAAAGCTTCAGGCGTGTGCCACAGCTCCATGGTGCAATAAAGCACAAAGGACAGATTAGGAGTTTTGCAGGATGTCTAAGGATAATTAAGACAGATGGCAGCCTCAGACACAGAAGCTGTACAGTGGTAGAGGAGTGTTTTGTGTGCTAATCTTTGATATGAGGGGCTGCAGAGAATAATTTTAAAGCAATTATTGCCATAATGAGCAGCAGTCTTGTACCATTGTTTTCTTCTTCTGTTATCTGTCCTGCCTCCAACTTGGCAAAACAGAAAACAAACATGAAATGCACCTTCAGAACAAGGTCAAGTTTACCAAAGATGGAACAAAACCAGAAGGTACCTCAGCACTCACAGCCCTAAGACACCTTGTTTTCATGGTGTGTCTCTGAATTCATAAAACCTTTTGCAGAGTGTAGAGTGTGTGTGCTGGTAGGCACCACTTTTGTGTAATAAATCCCAGAAAAGCACTTGGCAACAAATTAACCAGGGCCACTCTCCTGATATTATGTCCAAATTACCCTGTCAAACTGCCCTGCTCCTTTTTAACAGGTAGGGGCTAAACCTGCAGTAAAACACTTCAAATCCTGCCTTTTTCTTCTTGAAGTTGGGGATTTTTGGTACCAGGTGGTTTGACAGGCTACCTGTGAGCTCATCTGTCCTGTCAGGCATCTCTCCCAGTTCACCCTGCTCCCCTTTCTGAGGAGACAAGGAACAGATGTTCAAGCAGCAGCATTGTCTGAGCCACCTCACTCCTTCTTTTGTCTGCCTAATCCTACTCAGGGAGCAGACTGTGTCAGCTTCTCTGTCTTCCAGCACCACAGAGGGAGATGAGGCCAGCTCACCTGTTTTTCCACCAGAACCCTTCCTTCCATCTAACCTCCTTTCTTTTTTTTTAAACTTATTTACTCTTTGCTCTATATCTGCTAGGTTTAGCCCTGGTTTTTCTTCTCCGACACAGCAGCCTGACTCAATTCCACCTTCTTTTCTTCCCTGTGGCAAAAATCTCCCAGCCCTCTTGCATTTCTGGGTGCAGGGAACACACAAACAGCCCTGCAGCTGTGAGTGCCAGGAAATGGGGCTGGAGCCACCTTGCAGGCATGGAGCAGGTGTGTGCAGAGAGGAGGAGCAACTGCTTGCAGAGGGCAGAGGCATCTTTGAAGGCGCCCCTGTTACCTGAATTACTCCATTTCCAGATTTCAGGTCAACTTCCTTCTGTACTGTTTCACAAAAGTGACCTGGTGTCTAAGGTCACCAGAGAGAATGAGGGTGTTTATCCCAAATCACAGAATCTGGAGGGTAAGGAAGCCTCTCTGTTCTTAGGAGCCAGATGCTCCATGCAGGCCTAGCATAAAGCCAGGCTTTTGTACTGAGTTCTGTCTTGCAGAATCCTCTGAAAATTATCAGGAAAAAACAACTTCACATGCTTCTTTACTGGCAGCCTTGGGTTTTGAACCATTCCAGTTTTGTCTTCCTCTGTCCCAGCTAGGCATCCTGTTCTAACTTGAAAATTTCATTAGTCTTGAGCACTTCTCCATCTCACAACTCCAGAAGCTGCAGATTTTCCTATCTCTGCTGAGTTCTCACCATGGCAAGGTGAAGATGTGTGTGCCAGCAAGCTGGGGGTACAGAACTGCAACAACATATTTGTTTGTTTGTTGGACAAACATTTCAGGAAAGCCTACAATGAGTCTTCACATCAAAAGCTGTCCTGTGCATGTTCTTTGGGACCACTTTTATAGAATGAATGTAAAAGTCACAGCCAGTAAGTACAAATTATTTTGCAAAAGGAGGTCTGCAGGCTTTTAGGAGCACAGCTGCACATACATCCTCTGTCTTCGTGTGCACCTTATGCATAAGCTCTCTGAATCTGGCCTATACTCCTTTCTCAGAAAGGAAAAAGAGTCATATCATATGTGTGTATAAGCTTGTTTTCTGCAAACACTCAGCCACAAGAATAATCAAAACATAGATCTTCCGTGTTGATCTGTGTTATGCAGGGAGTAGCTCTGTTTAAAATAGTGAACTGTTTTGGTTTTGCTATTTTGCTTGCTCTATGTGAAGTCCTAAGCCTTTCATTTCAGGGAAATAAAAGCTGGTTTAGTGCTCTCTGTATCTGAGAGGATTAAAGGACATCTCAAACATGAAGAGGTAGCCTTTATGGGTTCCCTAAATATGTACTACTGAAAATGGAGTAGGTGAAGGAATATGATTTAGATACTCAGGAGCTGATTCCAGTGCAAGCCTTAGTGCAGACAAGGCTCTGTACCAGCATTTCAAAACAGGTATCACAGTGATAGTTTAGGTGCATTTGTATTTGCAGGACAGAAATGAAAAAGTTCAATCTGACTGTGTGCCAAGAAAAATGCACTTTTTGGCTGCACTGGGACTGAGCTAGGCTTTGCTTTGGTAGACTAAAATTCCTGCCCACATGACAATTTGGACTGTACCAGTGGTGCTTTTATTTAAAGGATAATCACCAATCCTTTATTTAAAGGATAATCACCAAGCCTCTTCCTGCCTTGCTGTTGAAGTGGACTGAGTATGTTTTTATTTTAAATAGCCTTGTTTGCCTATGGCTGAGCTAAAAGGCAGAGTGTGATGCAGTGCCCTAAGCACAGGTTATTTTAGACAGCACAGGGAATCTGAGACATCTGCATGGCAGTGGCACACAGGAGGTGTTGCCTCCAGGGGACCCATGCCCTTCCAAGGCAGCAGCTGGGGGAAGTGGATTTCCCAGGATATCTAAAATGGCATGAGCTATTGACATTTAAGCAGGTGAATCCCATCCTGTGGAATCTTGGACTTACTCTGATGGAAATAGGAAGGAATATGTTTGTCCACTGCCACGTGTGCAGTGTTCCACAGTTTGTGAAAGGTTCAGGGTAAGAACACAGCAGCCTCTGTGTGCTCAGGTTTGCCTTCCACCAGGCACTGCAATGACAACTTGTATTTCCTTCAAATCTAGAAAGTAATTATTTGTTTCTACTAGTCTACAGTGAAAAAAAAAAAAAGTCATTTCTGACTTCTCCAGAGAGTGTTGATGATAAACTTCTCATATTGCTTCCCTTTCATGTCTAGGCATTTCTGATAGAAACACCACTCATTCTTTAAAGATTTTCAAATCCTCAGATGTTCAGAGGTTTTGGGTAACTGGAAAGAGTTTTCAGAAATCAGTAGGTGATATTGTTCTGCCTCGAATTATGTAGGAAAAGACAACCTAGAAAAATTATTGCTTCCTAAGAAGTCCCTCATCATCAAAAGAGGCATGTGCTGCAGTAGCGATACTGTAATGCCTTATATATGACTATTATTGTTACATGTCATATTTATCATATTATGTATGATATTTGAAGGAATCGAAGTGTCTATAGGAATTATTGCTTTTCTGAAATAATTCCCTTAAATATCAGTGCTTCATATAATTTCTTGTTTTTTGTGATGTGACATATTCATATGTCACATATTAATTTGTGTGATGGGCCTTGAAAGTCAAGAGCTTCTCTGATTTCTGTCCTGTGAAAAGTGGTATTAATTTTTTAGGTCAGGGAAAGTGCATTAAGATTCAGACATTTATAAGGAATTTAAGGTTTGAGATGTTCTCAAGGGTGAAGCTGTGAGGGGGGAGAGTTCACACAAAAGCAAAGAGCAGTTCCCCAGTCCTTCAGGCAGAGGGAAGTCCCAGGATGTTACAACAGTACAGAGCTGGTGGTTCCATCTACACTTATAAAAATAAATCACACAGTGTACAGAACCTCTGGCCTGCAGAAGGAAAAAATCTCCCAATGATCAATTTGATTTAAAAAAAACCCTAAACTCCCCAGCTTTCCTGACCCAAATAAATGTGTAATTAGAGAAGACTTCATGGTGATTATTATTAAAAAGAGTATGTGTTTGGCTTTATTTCTGATTTTATGTTGGCAGTAACTCCAGTTCCAAAGCTTTTGCAGGCTTCAGAAGAACTAAAAGCTGAGTTTTGCTTTAGACCAGCAATTGCTAGTAAAGAAGGGAATAAAATGGGCTCATTTCACTCTTTTTAGCAGTATAGCCAATTTCAGAAATGTCTCCTCAGCTTAAAATAGTGAAAGTTTCTAGAATTGATGGTACATCTGAGACTAAAACAGTCTTTAAATGCACCTCCTGAAAGCTGAAAGATGTGTTTGCTTGTATAAATGAACTGGCAGGAGGAAAAAAACATTTTGGAATATATATTTAAAACTGGCCTTCAAAAATGCAACTTCTATTCACTTTGTTAACTTTTCTTGCAGAAATAAAAGTAATACAGGCATTGCACTATGTATGACAATAAGAAATGACAGTTTTCTGTTTTTTCAACACATTTGGAATCTCATTATTATCAAATGGAACTTGAGTCTCATTGCCTAGAAGCAATAACAATTTTTTTCATTCTCTGCTGCCCAAAGTGACCAAATGTAGATTAGTCTGGAGTTTCTTGTTCCTGCTAGAACTGATATATAATAAAATTCATTTTTAGATACACAGATTTTTTTTTTTTCCCCTCCTTCCTTCAGGCTGCTGAAGAATGCACAGAATGAAGTTCATTTCAGAATGTGGTATAAGAAACTTCTGGCTGCTCTCCAATTCTGTGCTGGACAGACCCTGAACAATGAGTTTTCTAAGGAAGAAAAACTCATCAGAATTCTGGGAGACATTGCCACAAAAGTGAAAGCTGCCACTGACCCAAAAAGAAAGGTTTGTTAAAAAATACTTCCCCTTCCATCCAAGTTTCTGTAGGGAATTTTATTTTTTCTAAGGTAACACCTCTTTCTTTTAATACCCTTTTACATAAATAAACCAAAGACTCAACTAAACTTTATAAATATTTTTCAGCTCTGATAAAAGGTAACACATAGATATTTAATGGGACATCTCTCATCACTGTTACTCTTGAGGTCTGCAAATCTTTTAAGCCATTTAAATTCCTTCATCAGTGGGTTCTCAAATGGACTTGGAGGTGGCCAGAAATGATGGCAACAAGGCTCAATATCATTTCACTGAGAGGAATGCTCACATTCAGCACCTCATCCCAAAATATTTGACTCCTGTAGAGCTGCAGCATTTCTTGGAAGCTTTACTAGGAGTTGTTCTTGGCAGGCTGGACATATCCTCATTTCTTAGCAAAGACAACCAGAGTGGAATGTAGCTAATATCTCAAATATAGCTCTCAGCAATGAGCACTGAGCACACATCTGCAGAGATGCCTCCATGACCAGCTTGCAGTTGTCTTCTCCAGTGGGTGCATTTTATATTGCTTGGGTACATTTCCAGTTCAGAACTGTTAATTTTCCAGGATAGCTGTTGTTTTCCTGGTGTGTAAAACCGCTTCTTGTTGAAATCTCAGCAAGGCAGAGCAGAAAGCCAAATAAAAATATACTTGCCACTTCTGGTTACCATGAACAGTATCATGAATCTTTCTGTCTTGTTAAGGATTCAAAGGTTTTCAAAGGGTTTCTCAGAAAACTCTCGGTGCTGCTACTGAGAGCAGCAAAGCAAACATGGAAGTAAAAAGACAAAAATATTTGCAGAAGGAAAATCCATGCAAAGAAGAAATAGTAGTAATACATTATACATTACTTACGCATAATTCAGATTTTAGAGATTAATCTCAAGGCTGCAGTTACTATGATACTGAGAAGCTCCCAAGCCTTGCAGTTAACAGAATTAGGCAAGGGAGATCACAGTGTTGAGGCAACAAGCAACAAATTGGGAAGATCTTAGTAAAGGCAAAAAATCCCATGAGATACAGCAGAGCAATACACAACTTCTTCAGCCCTATTGAAGGGTGCTGAATCACAGAATGGTTTGGGCTGGAAGGAACCTTAAAAATCATCAAATTCCAACCCCCTGCCACGGGCAGGGACACCTTGCACCAGACCAGGAGGCTCCATCCAGCCTGGTTTCACAGGTAGAGATTTTTTCTGTCATCCAATCTAAACCTTCAATCTGAAGCCATGCTCCCTTGTCCTGTCACTCCATGCTGTTGGAAACAGACTCTTTCCATCTGAACTATGGGGCAGTATGAGCTGGTAGCACATCTAGGCAGAAAAGCTATCAATGTGGAGTAAAATTAAAATTGCAGCTCCTATTTTTAATACCCCAGTGTGACCTCATTAGCTGCTTTAAGGTCACACACATGCTGCCAGTTCTGGAAATTGCATTGCTTGTTTAAAGTAAAGAATGACAGTAAAAAAAAAAATTACAAAAGAAAGAAAGAAATAAAAAGCTGCTTTTTTGTCCTTTCATGCTGCTATAACGGTTCTGATGCTGCAGGAGGTGTTGAAGGTGGAGCTCAGCAGACTGCAGCAGTTCTTCCAGGAGGTGAAGCTCTGCCGGCTGCCCCTGAACCCTGCGCTGGTTGTGCAAGGCATAGAGGCAGATGTAAGTGGGATCCATTGCATCTTCAATTTTGGTTTGTGGTCTAGAGGGGAGGAGAGAATGCCTGCATGGAAATTATCATAGTGATATGGAGAATAAATCATCTGGTTGATTCACACCCAGCCTAATCTTCTTCAAACCTTTGCTGAGGCAGAGGTGACAGGACGGTTTGAGTCCTGGCTGCATGAGTGTCACACCAGCCAGAGATTTCACCTCTGAGCAGCCCATCCCCAGCTCAGCTGCCCTGCTGTGGTGTTGGTATTGGCAAGAATACCTGAGAGCTGGGACCCTGGTTCCCACTGTGGGAATCCATAAAATCAGAGGGTTTTGGAAAAGCTGCAAAAGGCAGGCCTCAGAGACAGCAGAACTGTGATTGGAGCTAAGCAGGAGCCATGAGATTGGTCAGCAGAAAAACTATGTAAGAAGTAGAAGAGTAAGGACAAATGGAACAATGGTCTGTGTATTAACACTTGTATAGAATAACTCCCTAAGCTGCAGAAAAGTTTATCTAGCGAGATATTAGGAAGTTCTAAGCTTAATAATGGAACTCTGTGCATTGTGTTTTAAGGCTTATAAGCAGGTATTTTATTTGAAATAAGCAAGCATTGTTTAACCAAAGGTGCCTGTGCTTATAGTGATTGGATAGAACTGCTGTCAATGTGCTTTTGCTTTGTGTGAGTGGTCAAAAAACTTATCAAGTGAGTTGTAACATCAAGTTCTTGATCTGCTGCCTGGGATGTGAGCTGATGGCATCTTCCCATTGTCATACCCATGCAATGAGGCTGATGCTGGAAAATAAAACAGCTCAAGGCACATTCCCAGCAGTCCTGTTCTGTTTGTGACTTGTACAGAGCCCCTGGCCAGCAGTACTCACCAGGCAGCCCTTGGTGTTTTCCCATCCAAGACTCTCCCGTGTCAGGTATGGGAGCAGCAAAAAGTTTGGAGCCAGCTGTCTATTTGCTGAGCTGACTGAGAATTGCTAAAATGTTAAATATTCATACTAACTTATCTGTCTCTACGACCCCTATTAAACATGACTTAAGGATAAAGGAAACAGCAAAGCTCTTCAGTGTTACTTGACTTGACTTTGACTGCAGTACTAAGATTCAGTTATTCATTGTTCAGAAATATTTTCATAAACAACAAAGATCCAGGAGTTAACTGATTCATTCTGGAGAAGGAAAATGTGTACAGCATGAAGAAAAATAAAAACCTGCACAGCCATATATATTACCAGTTATAACTGCCTAATTACAGCAATTTGTGCTCTATTTTTGTTCTCTGGCTCATTATCCATAGTAGACCTGATTCTAAGAGGTGCTGATCCCTTCACTTGCCTCTGACCTGTGTTTCTCCAAGTAATTGCTATTCAGCCTTGATCTGGCTGAGAACTGAGGTCTTCCAGCACCCCACAGGCTTGGGCAAATTGTGTGTGATACAAGTCAGAAGGATGTGAAGCCTGCTGCTGTTCCCTGCTTTCAGGCTTTTGGAAATAATGACTAATGGAAAGGTATCTCACCATAAAGTCATGCTATTTATACTGCACCAGCTTGGCTGGACAGATACAAAAATGTTTAAATCTAATATCTGAAGAGGTCTTTTTGTTTTTTCGGTTTTTCTCATTTTTCTTATATCATTATAGGCCATTATCTTTCTATAAATACATGTCGTTTCTTGATTGGGCTGTACGTCAGTATAATCATGCAAATTAGAACTTTTAAGTGCTTATAATTACCTAAATTTAATTCATTTTGGTGTCATCTATTGATTTTACCAGTAGCAAGGCCTGCTCACAGCCCCATCAGAGTCACATCATCCCACAGGAACCTTTCAAGCACTCTCTGAGACATTTCAATTGGCAAAATTCCGACAGAAATGGAATCATTTCAGTGGTGGGGGATCAGAATTTCATTGCTGATAATGGCTCTGGCCCATCCCAGAGGTCTGCTGTGGCTGAGACAATATTTGCCTGCTGGTGCCATGCTTTGAGAAGTTCAGATGAAAAGCTGCAGACATCTGTGTCTGGTGGAGCTCAAATTGAGCCTCCCTTGCACTGCAGCCTGTAAGGACAGCAGCAGCTCTTGTGTGGTGCTCATTATTTCCACAAACCAGGCCATTAATTTACCATTGTCTCTAGCTGGTTTTGAGGGGTTTCCCCACCACCTTTCTTTGGATGTTTTTAATGAGGGTAATAATTCCACCCCAAACTCTCACAGGATTTGCAGTGCTTGGCTCATTAATGCTTTTTGCAGCCCTTTGAGATCTTCAGGTGGAAGGAGCTGTAGAGCATGAAAGTCCGAGTTTGTGCTTAATTAAGATAAATCCCACATAAAACAGAGCATGATTTTCAGAATTTGCTGCATCCTCAGCCAGGGTGAGGTAATCAAAGAAACTGGCAGGTTCTTTGCTTCCATGTCTGATTGGGCAGGGCTGGGGTTTTTTTCAGAAAACAATGAGACCAAAGGCTTTTCAATGCTTTAAAACTCATTAGATCAGTCTTATGTAATTCATCCATCCAGTTCCAAGCAAAGCTTATTGTTGATAGGCCTGGGTGAAAATGAAAAAACAATTAGCACGTAAAATATTATCTGTTCCTGTGGTCTTATATTTAAGTGAAGCTGGAGACAAGAATTTTTTATTTTTCAGACCCAATGAAACAGTCAATAATATCAAGAATTATTTATTTTTGCTCCCACTGCTACTGAGCAGTGTTTAAAGCTGGAATCTTTTTCAGAGGTATTGTATTAGCCTGGTGTTTTGTTTATGTGACACTGTTGTTCCTCTGTCTCATCTTTCTTTCCCCTGCAGTCATGTTCTTATTTTACATCCAATGCCTTTCCCTTAAAAATCTCCTTCATCAATGCGAATGCTCCAAGTGGAAACATCAATGTGATTTTTAAGGTATGTTCTTCCTCCACTCCTCAGGTCTTTTGGTATGGAAAATGATCATTTAAAATTCATCTAATTTATATTTTAAACCTTAAGTGTGAGAATAGTTGATTTAGCTCTGCTGCTTGTTTATCCCTATTATTTTTGACACTAGAACTCTTAATGAAACATGTTGAGGCAATACACTGAAGTATCACCTTTTTGATCAACAGAGAATCAAGCAATTATAGCAGTTTTTCCCTTAGTGAACACAACTAAACTAGAATATAAAGTTCATATTTTAAACCTAGTTTATTAACTAGGGCAGGTCTCAGAGAAGAGATAGATCAGAATGACTGAACCCTCAGCCTCATCTATATGTCTCTAAAAAATCAAAATACTGGAGTGTTAGAGGCTCCATTTGCCGCACAAACCTAATTCTGCCCCTGTCAGCCAGTGTGGGGGAATGGGCTGAGGAAGGTGGAGCTGGAGGAGGCAGCAGAGGAGCTCTGTCTGATTGGAGCTACTTGGAGGAACTGACTCAAAATAAACTCTGCTTTATTTTGCAGTTGTCACCTAGAAAAGCTTCAGAGTTCAGAACAGCACATCCACAAAAGAAAATTTTAAAGTTAGTTCTCTTTTGAAAGAGCAAAATCTTCCCTAAAAGTGGATATTTGTTTTAGAGAAGACCACAAGTTCATAAAATGGCTGATGGGTAAAAAATGGTTGGTTGCCAATGGCATTATTCTTAGGTATTTTGCAGAATCATTTGCCAAATGAGAAATCTAAAAAATTGATTTAAATAAATTTTTTAAAAATCCAGATTCCATATTGTCTTAAATTAACTTGCCCTTTAGAGCAGCTGTGATTCTCAGAAATAGAAGTAAGCTTTCCAGGCCTGCCAAGGGGAGAAATTAGCAATTTTAAGTTTTTCTGAACATTTAGAAACCTGTTTCATGTGCTGTTTCATCTGAGAATCCATATTAAGTAGCAGGTTTCTACCTACTTGAGCAAACACCTGCTCAGGGGCTTTTAAACAATTGCATTGGTTCTTCTCAAACAATTTTTTTCTACCTAGTAAGGTTCAGCAAGCAGCTCATTGTCCAGTTGCTGTAAAAGTATTTTAGCTGCTGTCACCTTCTCCTGTCAGCAAAACATTGTGCTAAAATACCTTTTGCTTGTACTATAGTTCCATTGCTTATTCATGACAGATAACTCATACATAAATGATAAGCACAGTAAATGATAAGGGTATCTTACTAAATTGTCTTCCCACTGCATATGTGAGGGAAAGTAAGTGGAGAGAATAAGATATTTTTACATTTTTAGGTGCTAAGAAGAATTAATTGGAATCTTTTGATGAGAGAAAAATAGATTCAGATATTTGGTCTTTTTAAAATGAGTTTGTCTCCTCAAGTTCTTTCCTGGGAGTAAATGTCTGTAGATTGGAATACTTGCGTAAAAAGAATATAACAAAAGAATAAGGCACTTAAAATACAAATAAAAATTATGTATTTTACATGGAGTGGGACAGGGGGAAAGAGAAAATAAGGGCTGTTGTTTTCGCAGGACATTTACTCAGCCATGGTTGAAAATAATCTCTTCATTAATTCTTGTGGCTACAATTAAAGCCCCATTTCCTTGAGATTATTGTTTGACTAACTCCATGGGGAGAGGGGTCATCACTGCTTGGAACTGAATATGAATCACATTATGGATTAAATGTAAATTTGTGATAAAGTTCCCTTGCAAATACCAAGTTGTGAGGCTTAATGTGAGACAAACGCTGTCATTTGTGCAGAGGGATCCAGCATTAAGTAGACTTTAAATGTAACTAAATTAGGATTTTACCTCTGGATTAAATTTCCAAATTCTAGTAATTACATAGGAATAATAAGCAGAAAGGCCACAGTTAAGCAGGGATCATTTGTTACCATCTCAGTGGCTCCCAGAACTGTCTCTGTGTGTGCCATCTACTCTGTCCTCTCCTGAGATTATTGAGAGGTGGGTGGGAACTTTGAAGGAAAACAAGACAGAGTTACTGAAATGAATGTAGCTACTCTGGTGGGGTAGAAAGGCCCAGTTAAATAGGACATTATTTCTGTCTGGTGTTGAAGAAGAAAACTGAATTTCATGTGCAACTTTCACAGATAGGTGATGATCTACGTCAAGATATGTTGGTTCTGCAAATTATTCACCTGATGGACAGCATTTGGCTCCAAGAAGGACTGGATATGCAAATGATCATTTACAGGTGTTTATCTACAGGGAAAGGACAAGGTCAGTCTTAAATTACAAAAGGAGCCTGTATTACATTATTCATATTTCATGTAAACAGTGCCATATAAAATTTATTTATTCTGCCTTTCTAGAACTCATTGGATTTTGTAGCAACTAGAATTTTCCAAAAGCCTCAACACTGTCAGCTTGCAAAACATTCTTAAATTCACATATCAAAAAGAGGGCTTTGGAGAAAATTGTCCATAGCTACTGAAGTTTTAATCCAGTGTATTCATGCATAGATGCTTAAATGAGCCTAGATGCATGTGGCTACACAAAGTACCTGCAGACAAGTGATGACAGCTTTGTGCTGTTGATTTTGAAATATTATTCTTGTGATTTATGTTGCTTAGGGCAGGCCTGACTCATCTGAAAGCTCTATTTCTCTCTTTTATGGTTGTTGTAGCAGAGCTGTAGCAGGGATACCAATTGCTTGCTGTAGAAATCTGCTGACAGCAGTAAGCTGCCTATATTTCCCTGACCAAATCTTCTACTGGAAATAATCCTAGCTCAAAGAGAAGGCTGATGTATCCAGATTACCTGCTGTACAAAAGCTATTAAAATAGAAAAATTAAAAGAAAATCATTGTTCTCTGAGCCACAAAGTGAACATGAGAGGAGGAATGATCTAAAGGAAATAAGAGAAAAGTATAGATGAGTTCAGACACAAGGCATGTGGTGGTGGTGACCTGGAAAAATCTCCTCCCTTCTTTGTGGGATGGGAATCAAAGCTTGAAAGCTTCTGCTTCAAAGGCAGATAATACAAGAATACTATTTCTGGACATGACATTATATATAGACTCTTCTATATACTAATGCTTAATTTGATGTTTGCCAAGAGAGATACAGGGATCGTCTGCAAATAATATTCTCTCCCTGACAGTCTCTTCCTTCCAGCATCATAGCAGCAAAAACCCCTCAGTGGCTCACAGATTTCAAATATGTCTTTCCTTGCGAGTTCACATCAGTGCTAAGATAATGGATTTACAGTTAATTATTAAGGATAAAGTGACATGCCTGTGGTCACGTAGGGCACATGTACCCCAACCTTAGGGAGCTTTGGGTACACAGTTTTTCCAAGTCCGAGGCTAATGACCTCCTCCATGGCCACCATTCCCACACAAGGGGGTAGGAGATGGTAATTTCATGGTCATGCAAGCACAGGAATCACTTTTCAATGAAATTCAGTGAAAAATTTCACTGTAATTCAGTGAAAAGTCAATAAAGCATTGGTAGAATTCTACTTTCCAGGCGTGGTGAAGTAGAGGAGTCTGTCAGTAAGTCAGATTCTTAGAGAAGGTTCTCCCTGTGCTGCAGATCAGGAGGATGACAATATATATAAAAAAATAAAAATATAATGTATAAAAATATATAAAACATATTTCATATATAATATAGTAATTATAATTATTATAATATACATATGTATGTATATTATAATTTATATGTATTATGCATAAATAGATATGCTATTATATTATAGTATAGTATTTTATAGTATATTTATATTATGTATTATATACTATACAATATATATAATATTTATATATATTAGTAAATATCAGATCCTACTTTTAAATTTTTTTTAGTTTTGTGTAATTCCTCCCACATTGAATCTCACTAGATCGTTCACCGTGTTGGTACTTTGAGACAGTTGTTTCCACAATATTGTTATTGATGATTTTATTTCTCCTTCACAGTACTGAACCCTTTCCACTCAGTGCCCTTTATTTCTAATTTCCAAAGAGCAAGATTAAAACAATATATGTATATTTATTGTTCTATATTTTGCACTGCATTTGTAATTTTTAGGCTTTTAACTTATGGTTTTACTTATTTATTTATTTTTAGCTTTTAACTTATTTTTTATTTCTTTTTAACTTATTTATTCATTTATTATTCCTTTTAAACGTAATTATTTATTTATTATTCATTTTAAACTATTTATTTTAGCTTATTTACTTATTTTTAGCTTTAACTTCATGGTTTTTTGGTGGGTTTTTTTTTCTGCATGGAATGATCAAACAACAGGCACTATGCATTGTTTTTCTGTGTTTTTAAAGTTGAGGATTTTTAATGCAAACTCTTTTCCATCTGATTAGGGCTGGTGCACATGGTGCCAGATGCTACCACCCTAGCGAAGATCCACAGGGAGTCTGGGCTGATAGGACCACTGAAAGAAAACACAATTAAAAAATGGTTTCACCATCACCATCCTCTGCAATCAAGTTACCAAGAGGTAACATCATAATGAAGCTGATTACACATTTCATGCTATGCCGTGGGGGAAAAAATAAAGAACCAAATTACAGCAGGCAGCAAAAATGAGTGGCTCAGACACGAGACAAACAAGGCTCATGCAGAGAAACCAGGGAATCCACTTAAGTGCCCCTCTCTAGCTAAGAAAATATTGGTTTTTATCAGGTGCATGCTATTGCATTTTCTATAAACGTGTGTCATAGAGATGGTCTGAAATTTAGTTGCAAAGTGAAGAGAAATTGAAACAGAAATTATCTTGAACTCAGAAAAAAGATTAATTTTTTGGTCAGCTCTTTAAATTCTTTATTTTATATAAACCACATAAAGTCCTGGCAGATTTCCTGTATTTAGGAAAGACCATGCCAATTACCTAGAGTTGCAGAAAACTGTTTTATCAAAACCACCTGGTCACAGTTGAAATACAGAAGCTTGTACTTTTCCTATCATTTGTTCTCATGGGATGCCATGGTAGCACTGATTTTATGAAACAAGATGTTCTGCATGAGCCAAAAATTTGTATATTTTATGTATAGAAGCAAACATTTTCCAAGGAAAACTTTCTATCAATTCCTTTCTTTCTGTCAGTTTCTTGTTGGGTGATCATTTTCTGAGGCCTGTGAAAAAAAAATAAATTTTTGTCGCTTCGGGACAGTTTTTATAATCCTTTTTTGGTGAAATGATAAATTAGGGGCCAAAATGTTAAATTTAGAGGAGGGCTTTGGTTATTTAGCACTCTGAGAATGAAATACATTTATAGCAGTTTGTGTATTATAGCAGATGTGTATTATAAATATGTTTGGTAAAGTTTAGTAATTTTGTAATTATTCCATAGGCATTTTCTCATCCACATTTTGACTACGAACTCTTGAATTCCTCATATATCATTTTATTCTTTTAAACAGGAGTAATATGTGTAGAATGGGGTTTTTTTTACAAGTTTTTGTGTTTACAGTTTTATGGTAGAAGTGTAGACAACATTTCAATTCAAAAGTGAGGCACTGCTAGTAATTGAGTGAAAATTTGATTTCTTGCTGCAGCTGCTGTTTGCAAAAAAAACCCATTAATGTGGAATATTCTAAAAACAATTCCTACCCAATTTCTTCCAATTTTTTAAGTATATAAAATGCAGTCCGATCTGATTACATAGGAAATGCATAAAATTACTGCTATGCATTCCCTTTGTGTTTGCTAGTGAAGAACCTTTCTCTTTATTTACTCCTTCATAATTTTTTACTCATACAGTACTGGATCTGAGGTGCTCAGAAAACTGGTGCAGGACAAGCTTTAATGTCCTCATTTTACAGTTGGGTGAATAAAATCACAGAATGCTTAAGTGTTTTATCCAAGGTCATCAGAGTGAATAAGTGGCACAGTTAGACACAAAATTCAGCCAACTCTTGAGCTGTGGCCTAAGTTTTGCCATTGCAGGTGGCATCCTGCATCTGCAGGGAATTCCTGAAAGCCTAAAGAATCATTTGCCTTGGATAATGTAGGCTTTGTCCAAAAAACATTAAGATCCAGATTAGGATTGTTTGGGTTTCTATATTACATTGTATACATTGTGATTTACATTCATGAGACATGAACTGAGTTCTGGAGAAAAAAATTAAAGGAGGTACAAAATGGTGCAGTGGATGTAGAACAACCTGCACCTTTTACAAAGCAAATGGTTACATTTGTGCATTATTTGTGCAAAATTATTTGCAAATAATTTCCTAACAGATTTTTTGCAATATGCTTGCAGAACACTGAACAGAAAATGCCAACTTCAAGTTTTTTTTTTTAAGCACCTTTTTTCGTAAAGTTTTCCATAGACTTCCAGAAAAGGTGAAAACCTCATGCATAAAATGGTTCTTGTGCGGTAACTCTGAAATCTTTTAGTGCCATGCCCATACCATTCTTACTCAGACCTGTCTCATGAATCTTTTTTCAAAATTGCCTGGTAAAATTTTAACAAGTTCAAAAGGTTTAACAGTTTGTTTGGGGTTTTTTTTAACAGGTTTAACAGGTTACCAACAAGCATAACATTTCTAAAATTACGTTTTGTAAAAGAAATTATTTTATTTTTAAAAATTATTTCTTTTATTTCATTGTTTGTAATACTATTTTTATTTCTTTATCACAAACATATCTGGATATTTCATGTAAGAGTTTTTGTTTTACTCCCTAGGCCATAAGGAATTTCTTTTATTCCTGTGCTGGCTGGTGTGTTGTTACCTTCATCCTGGGAGTCTGTGATCGACACAGTGACAACATCATGCTGACAAAAGCTGGACACATGTTCCACATAGATTTTGGAAGATTTTTGGGTCATGCACAGATGTTTGGAAGCATCAGAAGGTTGGTACCTATAATCATACAGAGTAAACTTTAGAGCAATGGTCTGAAATTTCGTAGCCCTGTCAACTCCCATAAGAAAAAAATACAAATGAGATTATGCTTTCTTTTTGTTTCCTTCCTGTATTTTCCAAAACAATATGTTTTTGTTGTTTCTTAAAACTTCTAAAAAGTGTAGAAATTACTTGAAAAGGATTCAAAGATGTTGGAGATCCCTTTTCTGTGTAAAAGAAAAATGCAATTCCTTGTTTGGTCAGGAATTTGAATGATGTAGTTCAGTAGTGACCAGAACAGAAGAATTCTGATGTCCATTGCTTTTTTTTTCCCAACAGAGGAGGGTTCCTAAAATGGATCCAAATCCATATATCTGTCTAATTGAAAACCTTCATCCCATATTCAGAGAAGGAACCAAATTTTCCAAATGGACATAGAGAATAATTACATTATGCCTCTGTGGGTAAATTTGCAACCTTTTCATCATCTTTAGAAGTTCCGCATCAAACCACACTGAGCTCAGGTGTTGCTTTGCAAATATCTGGTTACCTTGGTAGGTGTGATGTATCTATGTCATGCTGAGGATAAATCAAACAGTGTGAGCATCTATCCAATTCCTAATGTGAACATTTTCTGAAGGAATGAATTGAAATGGAATGAGGATAAGATAATGCCAATATGTACAAATCACAAAGGAGCTTTTACAGCAGAGTAATAAATGGATGAATTATCCCTTTTAGTGATGAGTAGTTGTGTATGTCTTTCATCCATGTTTTCTGAAAACTTCCAGAACAAGTATCAAAATTAAGTTTGAGCTAATTTTCTTATTTATTTTTTGTTTTTTTTTAATGTTAAGCTGGCCTTTTCCTGCTCCAGACTATCTCAGTGTGTTAGACAGACATAACAGCATGGGAGTATTGCTATGAGGGAGGCTGATGAGGATAATAAGTACTTCTAAGTCAAGCAGTCAAAAGATTCAGTTGCAGTGCTTAGAATCATCATCCATCATTCAAGATATGCACCCTTAATCCCCCTCATTTACTGTGGAAAGAATAAAGCAGAGCAGAGTAATAAAAACATACTCGTGCACACTCCTTCTCAAGGGCTGCATCCTTCTCCACAGCAAAACTCCTGTTGGAACCTAGCAGGGATTTCCTTGAGTAGTAATTTTACATAAACTAAAAATTACCTAGTTGAGTGAACAGCAGGATGAAGCAAATATGAGGGGACACAACAATCAAATTTAAATTATGTAGTAGCAATAATAAAAAATAGATATTAATGTTACCATTTTACAGCTCAGTTATGCTACACTTTATTACTAAATCTATGAAAACTTAAAATATAATCACTTCCACAAACATCAGCCTCTTTTCCCATTTCTCAGTGCAGTGTGTAGTTTAAACTACAGAATAAATTCACACATTTAGGACCTCCATTCATGGACGGCCCTCATGATTCCTTGGGAAGATTGGGTCTCCCACATAAGAGCAGGTTGCAAACACCATGGTATAATCATTGTTTTCCTCAAGACCACAGGAAACTGAGCAGATAAAGTATTAATGTTTTAGTGATACACCATTAATGACTATTGTTCTTATTAGTTGTATGCACCTTCATAAAATGTAACATATTATTTGTAACACAGGGACATCACATTTTTACAGGTCACAAACTTCAGGTTCTCTCAAAATTTGAAGCTCTCAGTGCTAGTTCTATGTACTCATTCCCACAAGGCAAGTCCTGAAACAGCTTTGGCCTCTGGTTTCTTTAACAGCTCTTATATTGCACTTTTATTTGAGTTCTTGTTAGATTTTTATTTGAGTTTTTTTTTTTTTTTGCACTCCCAGAATATCATACTCTAAAATAATATTGAAAAAACAGCAGCACAATGCTGCCAAATCTAAGAATTCTTAGTGCTGACCCTTGCGGAGTTTTGTACATTTGACATACATTTCTGGGGGTTTATAGGAGCTTTAAAGAATGCAAAGCAACTGATGCAAACCCCTCTACCTGGGGTTTACACACATCATACAAACGTTTTTTTGTGTGTGAGTGTAAAATGAAATCTATGCAGATCAATGAAGGGTCCCTGCCCAACGTTTTTAAAACAATCATTCCTTACAGAGCTTTGCAAGGTGATTATATTTCCTGCCCTCAGGGAGTGCTTTTTTGTCATTACAAAAATATAATTCCTCAGAAAACTTCCTGAGGATAGGTCCTGTGCAGCATCCAGTCCTCCTTCTGATGGAAGTGAAGTTCCAGAAGTGCTTTGGCAGCGCAGAGCCTCACACATGTGGGCTGCTACTCTTCTGTCACACCCAATCTGAGTCTCCAGAGAACCTGGTGGAGCTGACACATTCATCCAGTCACGCTCACTTTTGCATTCCTGACTGTAAAGACCATAAAAAGGGGATTAGTAAACTTTTCTACTTCCTGCCTTCATCTTTAAATGATATCCAATAAATCTGCTCAGTTTTGGTTCCAAGTCAAAAATCAGTTCTTCCTGGTGTGAGAGAGGAGAGGAATCAGGAACTTTCTTTCTACATCTGCATTCACAGTGCAGTAAATACTTTAAATAATACCAATAACCCATCTTTCCTTGGATCTATGGTGCCTTGTGAAGGCTGTCCTAGAGCAGAGGTTGGGCAGAGTTAAAGAATAAAGCAGGGATTTATCCAAAGGATCTCCTCCATGGATCCACCTTGGGCAGCACAAGAGCCCAGCCAGGGCTGCACCCAAGATGAACCAAAATGGCCCCAAAATGCACGGCCGGGCACGGGGGCTGTCCCTGGGATCAGTTCTGCTCCATTTGCACCTTGCAGTTCATTGTCCCATTCCAGCTTTAGCCCAGGCAGTCCCACCCTGCTTGTTTTTCTCTCTCCAGCCCACGGGGTTTGTGCTCCTGGGCTGAGATTTGGATCATTTGTCCTTGGTGCCCAGCTGGAGCAGGAATTGTTTTGTCTCCCTGCTCTGTGCTCAGAGCTCACCATCCCCTGATATGAAGCCCAGACCCACACACTGAAGCAGCACAGAATCTGAAAAATATAAAAGCTAAACCTGAGGTATCATCTAGAGCTAATATCTCAGAGGTGTTGGAGGCAGACTTATGATCTAACCAATAGCATAATAACAGAGAGCTTGGCAGAAGAGTTATTCCCAAAGTCCCATAGGGAACTTTCCTACTGAACCATGAGATTTCATTATCTTCTCTTCCTATTTTTTTTTTAATCACACTGAATGACATCTTCTGCTAGCAGTAATAAAATGCTCCTTTCATTCTCTAACCCAGCCTCCTCTTTTGACCATACATTCCCCTAAAACAGGCAAGTCTGCAGGTACACTTCAAACTGTACAAATAAATATTTCTTGTTTACTTCTTCATGTAACTGCCTTATTCTTCATCTATTGAGTGTCTTGCGGGAATGATCTCAGACCCACTCACACATAAATAGGTGTAATGTTATCCAGATTATCATTTAAGACTAGGTCAGTCCTGATCAAATGGTTTGGAAGGTGTCTGGATCATGGTTTTACCTACCATGCTTTGCTCACCTTTGTTTCCTTCCTTTCAGTTCTGACCAGCTCCTTTTGAACACTCCTTCCTCGGTGAATTAAGCAGCCAGAAATTTATTTAAATCCTGTGCTAACTGAACTAATCTGAAATTCAGCAGACAATCACATCCTCCCCTCTACCAGTCACTTCCAGCTCTGTCATCTGTCATTTTCCACTCAGGCATGTGCAGTGTGGCACTTGGTGGCAGGACACAAAGTGGTGCAGCTCATGGCACACTGCAAATCCACCTTTTGATAACATCAGGGTCCATTCTTTCCCTTCAAAACCCAGTCATCCTGATTACCCCCAGCACTCACTGGCCTTTTCATTTCCCTGATCTGAATCACAGAGACCCTCTTGTCCCTTTGCCAAACTAATCCTGGCTCTTGGCATGGCTTTCCCAGAATTTAAATCTGCTAAGCTGGTTTTCTTCTACAAAGTTAATTACTACAGGCAGCCTGACTATTCCTTTGGGAAATTCCAGTTATTAGGGAAGTTCCAAAAATATGGGAAAATTATGTTTCCCACACTTCCTTCCTAGGTTGGTGTTTTATTATATTGAGAAGGATTTCAGAACATCTGAGTATATAGAAATGTAGGGCCTCTTTTTATTTTAAAAGTAACATGTTTCATTTTTAGTGTTAACAACCTAAAATATGTGTTAATGTCTCAGTAGAAGTGCTGATTTTAAAAAAAATACTTTCAGGTATTTCTTTCTAAAAAAGTGTTGGCATGTGGACATGGAATATAAGTTCTATCTGCATTTTTTTATTGTATTGTATCAAGGTTTGTTCTCTTTTTTCCTTAAAAAAGGAAAAATGGGGAAGAAGGAAGCAGTTGAGAATAACGCATTTTACTTTTTTTTGCTTTTTACCCTTTAAAAACTTTATTTAGAGTACCCACACAAAGTCAAAAACTTGAAAGCATAATCACTATTTTTTTCTAAATTTGCGCATGAAAACTTCTACCAACCTGTATTAGATGTTGAAAGATTTTAGTGGGTATTTTCAGTGTTAATAATTCATTCTCTGCAGTTTATTTTTCTGACATGATAGGTCTGGATTTATTGCTTTCTGTGAAATGGTAACTTCTAATTCTTTGCCACTATTCACTTTCAGCATTTCCTGCATGACACCCTCCAAAAATCTGACTGCAATCCCATAAAGATTTTGTTTCATGACTTAAAGCACCTTAGTAGCCCAAATGATCTTAACAAGATTATAGAGATGTTTAAATCCTGCCATCCACATAAAGAAAGAAAGAGAAAAAATGCACAAAAACCTGTAGGTGAAACAGCATCATCTCCACGGTGACAAGGCCTAAATGGGCTTGAATTTATCAGGGAAGAAGTCCATCACTTTTGGAAGTCAAATATTTGTCCCAAAACGACCACCAAGTGCACAGGCTGAGTCTGAGCAAGCATGAACAGCACAAACTGCAGTCAGGGGGCTCA